GGCTGCAAGCAAGGCAGATGATGATGCGTCAGCATCTCTCTCCCTCTCTCTTTCTTTCTCGTCATGATATTATTATCATTATAGCCTCCGAGGTGTATACTAGGATCTTCTGTCCATGGATCTACTATCCCATATGATAATAAGCAAAAAGGATAAATATGTAATTTTGTTAGGTCCTATCTCCTCCTCTTTAGTGCTAAATGGCTGCTTGTATATATAGAGAGTATTAACAGCCGGAAAAGCTCCGCTGCTGTGAGGAACTTTGATATACACATTTTACTTTGGCCTTGCTATTTGTTTTTAACTTTCATTCTAGGGATGATGTTTGAATAATTTGCATCAATTTCTGGAGTGCAAGAAGTTTATTGCTAGACCGAATAATATATATAAAATACCTTTGTTTTGTTTGTATTAACCACTTTAAACCATATCGAGGTCAATTCTATTCTTCGCACAACCAAACTTGTTCAGTTTGTATCCTTAGAAAGTGTACATCTTCACACTGCTATTTTAGTTAGCTGGACTTTAACTTTCTCATCCGATTAGTGACTATGCTCGAGTGAATGGTGACAATAGCAATTCATCCCATTTATTCGCTACGTACAAGTTCTATTAATTTTCAGAAATACGAGTAACATGGTATGAGGCTTATTTTTATCGAGGAAGATACCAGAATGGACTGGCAAGAATACTCGAGTTATATCGTAAACGGAGTAACATAGTGTTCAACTTGAATCTTCAAATTTATGATTTTACACCTTTATTATGCATCACAATAGAAAACAACTGTTATTATGTGGGGTTTCATTCTTGCATTCAATGTGTTCTTGTATGAAATTAATTATACCTGAATTTTCTCCAATTTCTGTATCAACTTTTTCGCTTCGATTGGATGTGAGATTCAAGTAATGCCTGAGTGGTTTATTGTGTGTTATTTCGATTGAGCTTCTGATTTCATATCAATAGTGTTTTGTAAATTGTCTTTTTCCATGTGGGTGGAAATCCTCTCAATACTAGGGATATGTTGTTTGTGAAGTCAGGCACTTTTGTTATCACACCACCAGTGATGATTCAAACCAAGACGAGTCGTTCTGGAACCAGGCGCAACTTGTCTGAGTACGGGTATATAGTTGTCATTTGAGTCGTGTGTTATTCCCACTTGTAATTTACTAAAAATGTTGTTATTTTAGATGATGTCTCTGCTTTTAGCATATAATTTATTATGGTTGTAGTCTTTGACCAAATTATCAGAATCAGCAAACTAAAATAATGGATGATGCATCTGAGTCAGTGTGAATTTCCCGACTGTTTCATCCAATTAAGGTATTTCGTTGTGAAGTCACAAAACTCAACATCCTATGGCCATCTTATCCACCATTGACAGGACATTCAATTCTGCAACGTAAATTGTTGGCTTTGAGACTATGGACTTCTCCATTCTCCCTCAGGACTTGATGTTCTCCTCCAAAGTCAACACCTTTCTATCACATCTGAGAAAAACATGTAAAAGTTTTGGCTGATTGTCGCCCCTTTTGGGGATTCTGTCATTATATAGGAATTGAAATCTGTACATTTATGGTATGTAATTAACCTAATATGGTAATGTACAATTATGGTATTTAATAATTCTAAATTGTTAAATACAATCAAATAAAGATGGCAATGTAATCATAATGTAATCTTTCCGTAATTTTTCAATCGATCTCATTGACATCCCCTCTCAAATTGATGCTGGATGATCAAGAAGCATCAATTTGCTACAAGAAACTGATATTGTCAACTCATCACCTTGGTAAACAAATCAGCAGTTTGGACATCAGTCATGACGTGGAAGAGTAATCAAACGACCATCATAAGTCTCACATATAGAGTGACAATCCATTTCAATGTGTTTAGTGCGTTCATGAAACACAGAGTTGGTAGCAATTTGAATGGCACTAGTGTTATCCGTATAAAGAGGAGTAGGCATAAGCTGAGGCCAACCAAGTTCCGTTAGAAGACCTCGAAGCCAAATAATCTTAGAGCATGCAGAAGACATAGCACGATACTCACTCAGTGGAGAGTTTAGAAACACGATCTTGCTTCTTACTTCGCCATCCTCTAATTGAGCGACGATTATCTGTACATTCGGCCCAATCGGCATCACTATGACCAACCAGATCAAGAGGAGAGTTGACAAGAAAGAAAAGACCCCCATTAGGTGTACCCAACAAGTATCGAATAACGCGACAAACTGAGGCCAAGTGGAGGTGTCGGGCATAAATTGGCAAACCTACTTGACAGCAAAATAAATATCTGGTTGTGTAATAGTAAGGTGATTTAAACTACTCACCAATTGTCGATATAAAAAAGAGGGATTAAGAAGAAGATCACCCTTCTCCTCGCGATATTTCACATTCAACTCCAAAGGAGTTTCAACATATTTACCATTTGGAAGTCCAGCTAAGTTAATCAGCTTCTCTGTATACTTATGTTGATGTAGGTAAGTCTCGGCTGGACTTGAATGCACCTTAAGACCTACGAAATACTATAAAGGCCCTAAATCCTTCATATGAAAAGATTCCTTAAGTCGGTCTTGAAGATGAGATATCAATCCAGAGTTAGCTCTCATAATAACTATGTAATCCACGTAGACAAGCAGAAGCACCATATTGACTTTGAGTAAACGAGAAACCAAGAAGAGTAGAACGAAACTTGTCAAACCAAGCGTAGGAGCCTATTTTATCCCATAAAGTGAGCGTTTTAGCTTATAAATATTGAAAGAGGGCAAAGAGAAGAGACCCGGAGACGGCGTTATATAAATCTTTTCCTTAATGTCACCATGT